GAAAAGGGACTTCTAGTAGGTTAGCATCGCTGCTACACAAACTACCTGAACGTCCCCTAAAGGACTAAAGAGGCAAAAGCTTTTAACCAGTGCCCACCTTTTATAAAGTCACTATCATTAGTTTGAAAGCTTTAAAAGAACCCAAGCCAATACTAGTCAGGTGTATGAGTTGCTGTGATTATCACCTTGCATTTCAAAGGTTGAGAGGACACGATATGACTAATTTAATCATAAGCCCTGAAACTGTGCTATCAAAATAACTTCCCATCTTATGTGAGTTTCAATTGCGGACGATATCTACGTACCATTCCTTTTGCTTTCAGTCCTCTATTTTTCATGTTATTTCCAAATCACAATTTCGTACAGTTATGGTCATAGATTACCTCCTAAAATTTAATTATGTACGAAAACCCGCCCCTTACAAATACCACGCCCACTTCGGCTCAGGACTCAAAATACTTTGGCGAAAACAGCCTTAACTCTTGAACTAGGAAAAACAGAACAGATGTGGATTTGTAGTACCACTGCACCCACAAAACCCCTGCTCGCTTACTGAAAATTCTAATCACGTTGATCCTTACAACATTTTCGTATATGCAGTAAAAATTTCACTGCATCAAGATAGAATTCCTCTTCATCAGCACTGTTCAGGCAAATAATTTATTTTCTCAGGTTTAGAAAGATTTGACATGCGCAGATTACTGCAGTGAGAGATTTCTTATACACAAAAGTCTCCACTTTACTCAGACATCACTTGGATTCATAAAATTTTCAGAAACCTATAAAACAAATTTTAGGGAGTGACTATTCCTAACTGTACGATCTCCATCGAATTGTTGAGTCAGGGAGGGAGGGACGGCAACCGAGAAATAGATATTCGAATGTGCATATCATTCATGTCGGTACTAATCGATTATTGATTAAAATACCCAATGTATTTCCTTTCCGTGTGCTTACTTCTATATGCAGCCTACTTCTTTTTCTATGAAGCTGTTTATATTTTCGTTTGCTGCTTATCTCCTTGTTAGGGGGTGGGGGGTCTTTGTTAATTCTGGTTCCAACCAGAAACAGCGTTTAGCGTATGAGCCGCACTACGGTCTCGATAGTATCATAGAGGGAGCGATAAAGGGAACGAGATTACTGGATATATTTTTCTACCGGAAAAGGTTACAGCAATGAAAAGCTCTGTTCTTGTTGAAGCTCCACCATTTTTGCTGGTTCTAACGGGTATGGGCAGTATTGCTGGACATTCACGCATTTTACTCCCGTAACTTTCACAAATCTTAAAGTTCCCGAATCTCTCACCTCAAGAACAGCCGTTGGAAAGTCGAGTGATGGTCGGGACTTTCGGTCTGACGTTCGACGACCTCGAGGTAGTACTGAAATACGAAGATAATAATGACTGGAAGCAAAGATTGATTGTATGCAAAAGAACAAAAGTAGACGACCTGCTGATATACTGTCATCCCTGCTTTTGCTTCGATTCGCCTCTGAAAATATTTTCGTATGGGCTCGTAATAACAAGTGAAAAAATTTTAAACAAATTAAAATTTTTCCAGTATTTGCCATGAAACAGTGACTACTTGATGACTGGGAGAACCGTTACTAATCGTTACTTATCGTAACAAACCCCTCGGTTGTTTTCACTTACTGTTAGACTTCCGTATTTGTCGATGTTTACAAAAATATGTATCCTTTTAATTACTCTCGTCATCGGAAGCAACTGAGCAAAACTACAGGCGTACAAAATCTGGCCGGAAGATTACCCTAATACACTGAGTTAACAACACTAACTTTCATGATGCTCGTTTAGCTACGCTGAAAAAGTACCTAAAGTTATTACCAGTTACCCTTACACATACATTTACCCTTAGATGAGAATTACAAATCAAACACATGACATTAAGCACTTCCGTGGAAACTAAGCTAATGAATAATTAGGAGGACTTGATAATCAATTCCCTGGGCAAAAAGCTTTCTATTGTCATCCGAACCAAAACTGATTTTGTCATTACATCATTAAATCGGGAATAGCTATATTGCTCACTTATCGCTTCTAACTGCAGTAAGCTCATAAAACTGCAAAATTACTTGCTTTTTGGATTGACTGTTAAACTGTTATCGAAATACAAAGGAATGAAATGTAATTCATGTGTTTATCGCTACAGCTGAAAAATTGTATACAAATCAGTTTGAAAAATACAAATGCTCATTCCGCTCTATTGACTCCGCCCCTGAACAATCATGTAAAACTTACTACTTCCCATTCATACAAGTAAACATTGAATAAGTAAAATTTTCGAAATATGAAAAAATTTATGAAATATAAAGTATTGAGAGACCTTTGTTTTCACGTACTGCAAAACGTGATTTCAAACGTTTATAAATGCTCATAGAGTGAACTCATACAATTCCGGGAGGATCAGGGAAATGTAATTTAACGAGCAATGAGTGACGATAATGGAAGGAGTTTTTCTAGAAAGCGTTGCTTCTACAGTTTAATTTAGCGGTCATTTTCCCTATAATAAAATAGCGAAACTAAGAAATAATAATGGTAATGACAATAACAATATTAGGTTGACGCATAATTATTGCGGATTTTTTTCAGCAGGTTTCACTGTGAGACATGTTCAAATAATTACTCTGGAACATATAAACCATCTACGTCAAGCACTTCTTCCCATTTCCTAGGAAATCGGAATCCATAGGAGAAGATTTCTATTCTTCCATAGGAGAAGATTTCGATTCTTGGAGACGATCCACGTCTTGACGTGGCCATCGAGCCGTACATTCATCGAAAGTTCTGTTCGCTAGCCAAGTTTTCACCAGGCGATTGACTTGATAATCCATAAAAGTTTCTGTTGGAGGACATGGCGAACGTGGAAGCAGATTCCATTTTTTAATAGGCTTCGGCTGACTGTACCATCGTCGAAAAGTTCGTTGAGTTCACTTCATGGCTGTGCCACCTTCCAACCTTTTTCGAAGTAGTAGGGCTTAATTTGACGTATATGACGATGACTTTCTAGGCATATCCCTATTAAGGTATATAAGAGGATTATTTCTTTTAAACCTGAATTCAATATTGATATTGTATCGAGAGAAAGAAGTCGCGAAAAATCCACAATAATTGTGCTTCAGCCTAATAATAATAATAACGATAATAACTCTAAAATTCTAAACGGCCGCACGTCTGGTATCGAATGATGAAGGAATGGGCCTTTCAAAATTTGGGATTTCTTTGGGTAATCGCTCTATTCTATAATAAAATAAGAAAAACCGACTAATAATAACTACGACAAAATTTCATAGAACCCACTCTCGGCGTTGAATGTTCACCATCTAATTTGATCCCTTAAGGCTAGGTTTCTTTTGGCTAGATATTTTCTTTAATAATGAAATGGCAAACAATACTCATAATAATGACAATAATAATAATAAAAATAATAAATGATTGAATAACTAATAAAAATAATAATAACTGATAACGATAACGACTATAACTACAATTCTTTAGACGCTCCGGCGATGAATGTTGTGTAACAGGACCTTATCGAATCTAATTTATTAATTAATGGATTTATTAATAAAAAAATTATAATAAATGATAACAATGAATTAACGAACTCGACTTCACGCTCAAATGTCTGGCGTTGAATGATGAGCGGTTGGACCCCTTATTGTATTGAACACTCCTAGTTCGATGCATACAAGTACGAATCATTTCCGAGTACGGAATGATTGGAAAGGACAGCAGCAGTTGAAGAAATGAATGCTTCGAATGGCCACTGGTAATGGCTAATTGTCATCGCTGTTTCAATCTACACCCACCCATCTCGTCAAGTGTTTACTCGCTAAGGGTTCATGAGCCCCGAAAACCGATTGTAAAGATGTATCTTCATGTCCGATGCCTAGAATTCGCTAGCTTAATGACATTTCCATGGAAAGAATTGAATTGGCCGATTTGATTTCAACAGTCCGAATTTTACAGACAGTTGAAAAATAATTGAGACCAAGACTCTCAGGTTGCTGCACTGACAAAAGTATAAACCAATCGGTTTAAAATTTGGTTCGATCTAAAACGTGTATTAATTTGGTTTCATACCTTTAGGCCGCCTCAAAGGCGGGGCGAGTGATTGGCGTCGCAAGGCAAACGCTCGACCAACTACCATCACATCTGCAAAATGCTCGAAAATAACTTTTCAAACGATTTATTCGAAGAAAAAAAACATCAAGATTGCACATTTGAAACGCGGAGAAAATCGGAATGAGGAAGGAAACGTAAAATTAAAAAAATGATTAGAACGGGGACCATTTAAGCAGCTGCCAGAAACTGTGATCATATTGTACGATTTAAATGATGATTTGAATATTATTTTATGATTTTTATGACTGTAATATTGCATTTAAGACAATATAAAACTGTAATACTCTATAAAAACAAGGAATATTCGAGTGTACGTGCATAAGTACAGCTATAGGTTACTGAAAAAATCAGAAATTCTAAAGGGAAGGTGAACTGTGATGGAACTAGGACGACCGCAACACAATAACGAAAGTAGTAAGTATTGTAATTAATCTAACCTGCTTGGCTGATTGTATGAGGTTGGTCCATCACTTCCAGAATAGTTTATATTTGAAGAAACTTTGAGAAATCTCAAAATTTCGCAACATGCCTGTTGACATAGGGTCGTCCACTTTGGCAATTTCGGTTAGCCAGCCAGCTCATTTTCCCGCTGCATGTCATGTCTATTATACCGATTTCGGCGGAAGCTTCTCGAGCTCTTCTTTGTAATGAGTACCGCTTAAGATGTTTCGAATGCTTAGGCTGCACAATGGATTAACCAGATGATGGGCTAGAGCAGGCCCTCTCCAACAACAGTGCATCGCTGGTACAAAAAAAAA